AACGAGAACAATACTTTTTTTCAGTCAGAATTACACTAAATAAGCTGGACTATAAAAATATGCGTGAATTTCACACAACTTTGATATTTAAGGAGGAAATTGTGACCACGACAAGCTTGTTGAATTTCAATAGATATAAACACGATCAAAAATATGACATTTTTTTACGAAATCAGAGTAACAATTAATTTAAAGTTATAGAAAATTACACGATATCCATGTAACGGCAGTAATTGCCATGCCAGTAACGTTTGGAATCGACCAAACAATACAGTATAAATTAACTTTCTGAATAAAACATAAAATTTTATAACCCCATAAAAATATTGTATTAAGCTAACCACTGCTCCATATGATCAATGGCTTCCTCATTTCATAGCCATTAGATCATTAAAAATTATTTATATTAGTTTTAATTATTAAATGGAATTTAATAAAATGAATACTACGCAATTTCTATAATATTCTCTAAATTTTCTCCAAGTTTGAATCAAATCAAACAAACCGTTACATGTCAAATAATACATTTTCTGATCTTAAAGTGGAAGATTTTTTTTAGGAAATAATGAATAGAATTTGATACATACTTGGTTAACTGTTTATCAATCTCTAATTTTCCTCCAAATTTTTAGCCAAACCGAACGTTTTAGTGTGATAGACGTAACAAGGCAAAAACGTCAGTGCATATATAAGAGGAATTAGAGGACGCAATATAATAAAATTTATACTACATTATTTTTTTTTATTAATACCTACATTTTTTCCAACTTTGAGCCACATTGAACTTGAATATTGGCATATCTATAGAAAATACAGCTACGCGTGCACAAGCGGAAGTCCTGAAAGGAATTCGATAAAATTTGTATGGGACCTTCTAGATACCAACTCACACAATATCTGAAAATTGGATAAACGGCAGTGGGTGATATGCTCGTTACATCGATTTGACTACAAACAGACAGACGCTGAACCAAATTTGATCCTTGATGTCTGAAACGTAAAACGCGCTTAAACATTTTGAGCAAAAAATTTTTTTAATACACGAATACAAAGCTTCCTACCTTCTGTAGTGAGAAAGCAAAAAATTGTAATAATTATTTTATGCCAAGATACACTTCCTACATTTTTCATTAATTTTCTAATTTCGTTTCCATCACGGGCGCTACGAGGGCGCTTTCGGACTGAAGCCTTCCACAAAATGGTAAAATATAAATCATACTTTATGAAAAAATTATCTTTAAAAGTATTATTGTTCATCTAATTACAGGTAATAAGACTTCAACAATCACTTAAAGACCATTTCATATAGGTTGTTAGTTTCTTTCTTCTTCCGAAGTCATATCCTAATCACAAAAAATCTTCCTGCTCAGCTCCCCCAAAAAATTAAATCCTGGATCCACTAGTAGTTACCATGGAAAATTAATTAATAAAAGTAGAGAAGGAAATGAAACAATTCAACTATCCTTAGTATGCAGTTCAAGTGTTGCTAAGATCTATTCAGTCAGTTAAGGTATTCCGTTCCAAGAACTCGTGAACGACACCTGTTCAATAAACGAGGTTTTCCAAACATCGATTATTTTTACAATCGCTTCTTCCCACTAGCCCGTATCGATTGCTAAGTTGACACAGATGAGAGATGGAGCTAACGGTGCGCTAGGGCGACCTGTGCACCAACTGGCTTTCTATGTCCATATCTGGCCTGGGTCGACGTCCTGCCACTCGCCAGCCCCATCTAGTCCTGGGGTATCCTGTGGAGGACCATCTGGAAGGATCAAGGTGTCCTTTATCGAGGAAGAGGTCCTGCGAACTGGATGGTGGGGTCCTTGGAAGAGACGGATGCTGATCGGTTGTCAAGGAAGCGAGTTAGGACATCAAATATAATGGATAGTCTCATTACGGATAATGGCGAGCCATACAGAACTCTATTCTAAATAGATACCGTGATTTATCAACGCCATGGCTTAATAAGTAAGGTATCAGTCTGCCTAGTGAACTTATCTTACTTGTTCAATGATAGATTGACGGTTCTAGATCGTGGTGTAGAAGAAGCCATCTAAAATTCCAAACAAGTTCGAGCTGTTATCATTGTATGTCTATGCTTTAGTTTTTTTGGTACGGGAGCTGAAGGAAGCAGACACAGTGAGAAAAATAAAAATATTTTATTTTGTACCGATGTTTCGGTCATAGTTACGGATCTTCTTCAGGGCTGTGGAAAGATGGGTTACAAATAAAAAATAAATCTCTTTTTTGGCTAAATAGTGGCAAAACTATTTTATTAAACGCCAAGGTTCCCGACCCGGCTTTGCAGGTCTTCTTCAGGGCTAGAACGGACAAGATGCAAAAGGCTAGAGAATTGTGGAAGTTACATAATATTTAGACAAAAAATTACGAACAATGTGAATAAGCTTATTAAAATTATAAACAGAGTAAGCTAAGTAACAAGATCCTAAACTGAAGTAAATAGATGGTAACAATTGTTATAGTGTTATATATAATATATACAAATGTGAATATACTTCTACAGATCTATAGGAGAGATTGAAAGAAAAGGGAAAAGAATATAATATGAAATAATAGACATAAAGTCTTTAATTTTATTTACTTGATTTTCGGTTTTCTTTTTTTCTTTTCTTTCTCCACATTCCTATATGTCTATTATTTCATATTATATCCTTTTTCCTCCTCTTTCAATCTCTCCTGTAGATCTATAGAAGTATATTCACATTTGCATATATTATATATTACACAACAACAATTGTTAGCATCTATTTACTTCAGTTTAATATCATATTACTTAGCTTACTCTGTTTATATTTTAATGTACTTACTGTTCATAATTACAAGCTTATTCACATTGTTTATAATTTTTTGTCTAAATATTATGTAACTTCCACAATTGTCTATCCTTTTGTATCCTTTCTATTCTAGCCCTGAAGAAGACCTGTAAAGTCGGGTCAAAGCGTTGGCTTTTAATGAAATAGTTTTGCCACTATTTAGGCTATTTATGACCTCCACCTCGGACCATCTCCTTCCTTTATAATGCAACGGTCAACTATTAAATGTTCAATATAATCTCTTTTTATATTAATTTTTGTTTGAGAGTATCTTGTAAACTTGTTTATTTTTTTTACTTTCACTTGTATATGTAATATATCGTAAAGCAAAGTGTTGCGACCGTGAAAATTTTCGAATCTGAGTTTTCAACGAAAATACACGTTTTGAGGTCCCCTGAACAGTTTAACTCAAAAATGAAAAGTCGTACGAAACTAATTTTACGTATTTAAGGTTTGCATATGGTTCTGATATAACATTTGATCAACTTTTTCGTTAAAATCCGCAAACCTAAAGTGCTACTTTATATCAACGGTGATACTCATTTATACGATTTTCTCGAAAACGGCTCTAAATATTTTGATAAATCTCGGTATGTCAGTGTATTATTAAGTTGTATTTAATATCAGCTAGATCTTATCCATATCGATGTCACTTTACAGGGCTTAAATGCTTAATGTTTATGTACGTCTTCCTACAAGGTACCTTTAATTCTGTTTATCTCTAAAAAATAACTTACTCTTATTGACATTAACTGTATAAAATGGCTAAATATAATTTATGAAACCATTTGATAATTGAATAAAGGATAAAAAAAGAAAAATGCTGATCCATATTGAAAAGGAATCTCCGGAAATAAGAGTCAGAAGATGCACGTATAATATATCGTTGGAAAGCGGAGAATTTTAGAAAAAATAATATATAATAAAGAAAGATGTAGAAATTAACAGAGAGCGATGAAAATGATATAAATATTAATATTAAAAGACTAACATTCTTTAACGTAAATCAAATGTTTCCAAGGAAATTAAATGAAATCTTCTTACTAAATGTAAACTTTTAAACATTTTTTAAGTTTGGTAAAAAGTACTTAAAATCCACGGAATTAAGGAAGTGACATTGTTTAAGATACTATTTCATCGTACATGTAAGAAAGAAGAAGTGAGATATAAAAATATTTCATGAATATGTTTATAACCTTAAATATATTTACTGTATTTTGATAACTCTAGATCTAATATTGTATTTATACAATTAGGTATCTATCATCCATTTATTCCGAAAAATCGTCATGTAACCTTTTAGAAAATTAAATTAGCGAATAATTTGTTGAATTTTCTCTTTCTGAAATCCCAACATTATCCACGTGCAATTAGTCTGACAACTTTTGAACTATCCATGGCAGTTAATGGATATCTCTTAATTTCATTTTAGTAAACTTATCAATAGAAAACAAAAGTTTAATAACTAATAGCCCTACTATCCATAATCATTTATAGGTTAAATATTCAGATGTACCTTGAAATTTTTCTTGGCATAGGTTGAGCCTAAGTCGAATTTCAACTTTCTTTATTATTAATTTTCATAATGTTTCTAGTTGTAAAATTGATATCTTTATCATAGTTCTATATTTCAACTCTGCAATCACCTGCTCTGGAATCAACTTACTAACTAGCTGTATAGATATAACTTTTCCAACTGGAAATATCATTAAAATGACATTACTCAAAAATGTTGAAATTGGAGTTAGTCATTGTGTCAACTGAAAGGCTCAGAGACTGAAGTTTTCTGTTATTTATAGAACTAGATTTTTATTGTCTACCATCGATATTATAAATAGACTTTTTGTAATTTTTAATCTTAATGATATGTTATCTTTAAGCTTTACCTCTGTTTAAAATGCACTTAAAAATTTTAAAATATCCTAAAATTGCCAGAAAATAATTTGTATTCAAAGAAGATCGGTAAGTGAAAGATGTGTGTTGATCACCAGATTTTTCTAGTTCTTTATGTGTTCACATGTTCTTAATCGACTTAACAAGTGATATATTCATTGTTTTAAGATAAATTTTTTTTCTCTTTCTAGACTGAAAAACCCATTCATATTTTTATATCGTAAGCTAGGATGAATGATAGATCGATTTAGGTTATAATCGATACATGATACACTATCGACTACAGGCGTAGGCGCTGAGAGGTGTGGGAACGCTAAGACAGATGTCCACAGGCCAACACACATCTGCTCCAATCTTCTCTATTCCCTGCTCTTCTGAAGGACCTATCCTGTCTTGTAGTGAACCTGCTGTAGTATTATCTTCCTTTAAGGACTACAGGATCTTCAAGAACTGTTCTTTGAAAAAATTATTGATCAATATTTTTTAATAAGAATATGTATTTGCGCATTTTTTTCTGAATATATTACACCTTCGATATTTTATTTATCATTTCATGTAATGTAAAAGCAAATTAAGTATTTTCATTTTAAAGAATCTTTAAAATATCAGAAGTACACCAATCGTAGGAATAAGAGTTTCTATTATATTTGATAATGTAAAATCAGTGAAACTTTATTGTTGAGGCGGGGCATTATAACGATTCATGACTTTAAATTTTCTCAATTGTGGTTAAATGGTTGACTGTCGTAAATAATGAAGAGAAGAATAGTTGGGGTGATCAGTCAGAAATAAGAAGGCAAAAATAAACGATAATATTTATTTTGTCATTTGCCGACGTTTCGACCAGAAATTCAGGCCTTCATTAGGGCTAAGAAAAGAACCAGATAACAACATATGAGAAACATAAATAATATAGGTAAAAAAATTAAATTAAAATGAAGTGAGTAGAATCATGACAATAGTAAGAACTAAGAGATAAATAATAATAACCGTTACAAAGTGTGGAATGATGAAGTAAACACAATCAAAAAAGGTGGCATAAGTATTAAAATGGTAATCTTAGAATAAAATGTTAAACAGAAAAAAGGAATATGAAGTTATGTAAGAAATGAAAACAAATAGTAAAATTAAGATATTGCAAATAGAATAGTTAGATAGAAAATTGAGATATTGTAAAGTCTATCAAAATGTACTGACAATTTTCTATATAACTATTCTATTTAAAATATCTTAATTTTACTATTTGTTTTCATTTCTTACATAACTTCATATTCCTTTTTTCTGTTTTACATTTTATTCTAGGATTCCCATTTTAATACTTATGTCACCTGTTTTGATTGTTTAGTTCGTCATTCCACACTTTGTAACGGTTATTATTATTTATCTCTTAGTTCTTACTATTGTCATTATTCTACCAACTTCATTTTACTTTATTTTTTTACCTACATTATTCATGTTTCTCATACCTTGCTATCTGGTTCTTTTCTTAGACCTCAACTTCAGGTCGAAACGTCGGTAAATGTCAAAATAAATATTATCATTTATTTTTGCCTTCTTATTTCTGACTGATCACCCCAACCATTCTTTTCTTCTTAAAGTTTTCTCCTAATAATTAAAAAAAAAATGTACTCATCTTTCGGACTAATCTATTTGATGGAAATATTACATATTTTTGTCCATATTCAGCCAATAAAAAATTATACAGAAGACGACTCAAACATTAGTTTCATTTTTCTCTTTACCCTTTGACACGTAAAGGAGAAATACGGAGAATATCCTGCTAGGGAAATGCCTAATATTTTTGAGCCGGAAGTTTTTGTTAGATTTTCGGGAATTTTTAAAGCCATTTCCACTACCTAAAATTTTTAGAGAGATCTATGAGCTAAACCTAACCCAGATATTTATATATTATTATTTATTTGGGCATTAAATTATCAACGAATAAAACACATATCTACATATATGAAATTAAAATGTAGCATATTTGATAATATAACTTTTTTAAAAAATACAAAGTAAAATAAAGGTAAAAATTTCCTGGAAAATATTATATTAATTGTAAAATATATATTATACTAAGGGATACTCATATCCGAGTAATAGTGGACCAACCCCCATTTAACAGATACTTAATAATTACAACAACTATTTATTTAATTGCACTATTTGTTGCTTGAAATGTATTCCGTAGTTCAGACTGTTTCATTTTTCATAAATAAAAAATAAACGGAACGGAACCACAGTTCGGACAAATTTTTTATGCTTTGCAGGTGTACATGAGGGCTACAAAAGATACAAAATATAAAAGGTACATGGTGAAAACAAAATAAATGAATGTAAGTAGATATACAACAAGAAAAAGTTGTCTGATACATATATATAAATTTAGTAAATGAAAATTATTGTTATTTATTCAAAAATTATTTTTAGTAATTGTAAATAGTACAAAATTTGTTCATGTTTTTTTTTTTGCTATTGACAAATTTTTTTTTTTTTGTTGAAATGATATTGACAAATCAATTTTACAGATAATTTTTGATAAGGTGTAACAGAAATGTTTGAAAATGGCCAAAAAGTCCGAAACGTTACTCAATGAATATATCTTGATGTAATCAAATGAAAATTTTAAATTGAATATTTAATAGTTGATCGTTGCATTATAAAGGCAGGAGATGTTCCGGGATTTATAATTGTTTGTCTAATATTATGTAACTTCCACAATCCTTTTTATCTTTTTGTATCTTGTCCGTTCTAGCCCTGAAGAAGACCTGCAAAGTCGGGTCGAAATGTTGGCTATCAATAAAATAGTTTTGTCACTATTTATCCTATTTATGACCGCCACCCCGGACCATCTCCTTCCTTTGAAATTTTTAATTTTCGGATATTTCTTTAGGGATGTAAATGAGCTAAAAAACAATTTGTTAATTACTATTATTTAACTAATCATAAATTAGCATTATTACACCCTATTTTTTATGATATGTATATATACTTTAAATAAAAAAATGAGTTACCAATTTAATGTTAAATATATATGTATTTGTTGTTATAGTAATAATCAATGATTATTTTCAAACAAATATATTTTCTATTTATTACTTATTAGCTATTTATAAATAACTCGTTTAACTGCAACATCGCGTAATGCAGTTCCGCCAAGCATCATCCCTGTGATAGGTTAGGTTAGGGGCACTGGATTGGGTACCCCTGCCGTAACTGATAAACAGACACTGTCCTCGAAGACCGGCCTTTAGGTTCTGTTAAGTGGATGTTTTGCGCCTTAAAGAAGTCGATGGAGGAATGCCCTGCTGATGGACTATGTGACAGGTCAGCGATGACGCAGATCTATTTCAATTGGTTCATAATAGTCAGTCCTTGAATGGTTCTTAGTGACCTGCTTTCATTCCATTCTAATATAATAGTCATCTTAATATACATGTGAATGGAGTATATGATATATCACATGATGATATATCGTATATACTTTTTCCTGAAAAATCTGCTTCCATGATATGTCTATATTAAAATCATAATGCTAGAAATCATTGGATCATCGGAAGTCAGTGACCTGCTAATAAGGGTACTGATGCAATTTTTGTAAATGATTAACGTTCTATCGTGCTAAAGTTTTATTAGTTATACGTTATGCCTGTAATCAAACAGCTTAAAAGAAGCTTAATAAGGCATTTCGTCTCTTACAAATATTCAAAATTCAAGATGAGAAGAATTGCCGCTGGGCACTTCTCTCCCTCACACTGATCAAGCCCCTACCTATACTCTTACAGACAGCAGACCCACTACTTGTCATTGATCATGACATATGTGGATGAAAAATAAATTATAGTTCACTTTAACATTCTTGAGTCTAGCAGCTTCGGTTCGAATCTGGCTTGGATGATAAATGTTGCGGAACCTGCTAATCGAAAAAAAATAAATTGTTCATGCGATTGTAGTGCCATCTCTCATCTGTAAATATATTCAATTTGTTCCGCTTCAAACTTCTTCGAAGGCATCTTCTATATTTAATTTTCCCCCTTGGTTCTGTGTTATATCCAATGTTCTCCGATCTAGTTAAGGGAAAGGAATTTTAAGATACGTGTCTTAATATGGCAGTTGAGTGACGTTAAACTTTTCTGCTTTGTTTTTCATTAATCGTTGTTCTATTCCTGGTGTTTCTCCTGATATTCGGTTTATCTTAGTAATTTTTTTTTATTTATCAATTCAGGATGTAGAAAAAGTAAAAAAATATTCTGTTTTAAGTCATCCAACATATTTTCATAAAGTCTACACTAATCTACAGGATAATGAAAGAAAACTATTTGTTCACGTTTCTATGTATTGAATTGACAAATAAGTCCTTTCGGTTTTTCAGAGTGAAATAAAACTCAATGTATTATAGACATAATATTTATTTTAACCTACAATATATTGACCATTATTTAATATGACTTTTTCCCGTCTTTTCACTAACTGAATAATGCCATGTTCATAGAATATCTAGAGTTAACTGTTAAAAAACTGATCAAGGTTTTCGATGTCAACTCTCTTTTGGAATTTCTTTCCATCATGTTCATGTTCTGAGTTCTGCAGAGACCTGAATAAGTTGTAGTCACTTGAAGCTAATTCTGGTGAATATGGAGGGTGGGGAAAAAGGTCTAATCCAAGACTCAATAATTTATTGCGAGTGACCAATGAGGTGTGGGGCCTAACGTTGTCTTGGTGAACACAACACCCTTCCTTCCGATTTGCCAGTTCTGGGCGTTTATTTTTAATTGATTGATCCAATTTTGTTAATTATGAGCATTATAGAGTTGAATAATTTTTTTGTCCTGATGGCAATAGCTCATATAAAATAACGCTTGAAATCCCACCATATGGAAAGCATTATCTTCTTTGCATGCGATCCGGGTTTGGACAGTTGCATTCGGTTAAGGCACCATCCCCGCAAACGCATCATATTTTTCTATGAGCTTCTGCAACACGCTTACCTTCTTTAAAATAATACAACAAAATATGCCGATAATGAATGGTATTTTCTTCCATATTCAAAGTGTTATAGCAAACACAATACTAAGCTAGTTTCTTCAAGAGTTAACAGATATAGTTGTTGACATATTACAAACAGGATAAACAATCCAACTTAGTGATTAATTAATCAAATATGATGTGTATCATAGTGACATAAGAGTAAACAGAAAAAACGAAAGGACTTATTTGCCAACTAATACATTTTTTCCGACCTCCATTGGTGGTACATTTTCTGTCCTTTATTCAAAGGTGTCCTCTGATAAGAGGTTCTGGTCCTGTGTAGCCATCCTTGCTCTGTAGATGGCGCTTGTATCTACCAGAGATTAGCAGAGACTGAGCCTGCTCGAGATATAAATAGAATCGATAGTTCCCAACAATTAGAGCTAATTGCCAAGCCACCAACT